ATAATTGCCCTTTTTTATTTTCATTATTAATAAAGCATGTAACCTAGAATGGTTTAACTAAAAAAAGTAATAACATATTTGAATGCATGCATATATACTGGCTTCAAATTTTCAACTGGCCTTGCACTTCCAAAATAGTATTAGCCGATTCCCTGAGCCGCCCTGCCTCCTTGTTGGTAAGGTGCATATTGGTGACTCCCAAGACACCATTCCTGCCAAGCTGCGCCGGTAGGCTGAGAAAAACTTCACCATCTTCGATCCCGTGAAATCCCTTTGCAAGAACTAAGACAGGGTGAACCCTTCTCTGATCCCTGAGTATGGCCCTATCCAGGCTAGCCACAGAGTACCCAATGGCCCATGATGTGTGAGCTTTGAGGCTTATAACTTCATATGCACTTTGTACAACTTCTTTGTGAATATTTTCTAAAGTTTCCACTTCATAGGCTATTTTCTGTCTTTTTAAGAAGCTAAGGACCGGCACTCCTCCTATACTTACGCTTGACCATAGTGCCACTGAACTATCCCCATGCTCTCCAACTATGAAAGCCTAATAAAAAAATAGAGCTCACGAGTAAGAGTAATGTTTTTTGTGTTTGAATGTGGCCCACAACCCAGCATTATGTCCACATACTCAAGGAAATTATCCATGACGTAACATTAAATAATAGGATCAATTAAGTGGTCTTATTACACATGATTAATCTTATTATTTCACTTCACATCACATGGGATGATCTTGAGTAGGGACATATAGCATTATTCCACGAGTAAAGTGAATAATCCAGCTTTTCTTCCAAGCTAAAAATAAAAAAGAAATAATAAAACAAGTTATCTTCTAATGTTATTAACATTTTTTTTTACAGTACTATATTATACACTTACATGCTTAAAGCTAAATTGTTGTACATTTGTAGTTGACTAGCATCTCACTAAGCTGGACGAAAATAAAAATGAAAAAGTGACATAATACGACGTTATACATAAAAGGTGTATTATGATTAAAGTTTCGCTGGTAACCATGTAAGCATCAAGAGCCACTTCACCCCAGGTTCCTCGCTGTCTTTGAAGACGTAAGACAAACTTAGACAACATTTTATAATGAAATCAAATTTAATGATTATAATAAAAGGGTGAATGAAAACGCCACTTATTAAATTTCTAAAATTCTCTATGAGTTACAAATTCTAAAAGAGTGAATGAAAACGCCACTTATTGAAGTTTGGGCATGATTCATAATATTGGACCTCTAAAGCATTATTGTAGAGAAACCAACTGCATGGATTATTCCAAGGCAGAAAAGTAAAGAAAAGAAAAACTCACCTGCACGTCCTGTGCATTGACATCAAGATGATTCGCTATCAAAAACCGAAACCTTGACGTGTCCAAATTGGTGCCCGATCCGATGACTCGATTAACCGGAAACCCAGAAAGCTTCCATTCAACATACGTCAGTACATCCACTGGATTCGAAACAACCAAGATTATACAATCAGGAGAGTACTTAGCCAACGGAGGCACAATATTTCTAAACAAATCCAAGTTTCTCTCAAAAAGATTTAATCTTGTTCGCCGGGATTCTGCCGGACGCCGGCGGTGATAATACAGAGGTCGGATCCTGAAGTTACAGAGTACTCGAGGGAGGCTTGAATTTTTGTGCGTGGAAGGAAGGCCGCAGCATGCTGGAGGTCAAGCATTTCACCACGGAGCTTCTCGGGTTTGGTATCGATGAGGGCAAGCTCATCAGCAAGGTCTTGAGTGAGTATAGTCTGGGCTATGGCCATGCCGACGTTCCCCACCCCAACTACTGAGATTTTGGTGTGACGTTTGATGGAAGATGGAGGCGCGGCATTGAAGATTGGCTTCAAGAAGGCTTGTGTCAAGTCGAGGCCGCTGGGGCCGAGGGATGAAGAGGAGGTGCTCCTATGCATTGCCATGGCTTCTTCTTTTTGTGTTGTATGTGTTGGTGTGTTGAGGGGAGGGGAGGGGAGGGGAGATTGGGTTTTATAGGTTACACTATGCATGGAAGAGAGGGGGTGAATCTGATTTTTATGGTGGTTTTTCAATGGTCAACGTTGTACCAAGACTTGGACAAAGTTTGATATTCTAGGAAGAATAGAGTTTGGAAGGAAGAAAACTCAAATTTTGGCTAAAAGTTTTTCATAATTTAGAGATGACAATAATATATAGTTATGGCTTTGTGTGTATACTTTTTATTCAATTAAATCACCACAGAGATGAACTATTTATCGATGCTGAAAATACAAAAGACAAAATCTTCGAATGAGGTAATGGGACCCTTCAACAAATGAAAATGCTACGCGAAAATTTAGTTTAACAAACTGGGAGTTAGAACATTTTCAAGAAACTTTTTTATTTTTAAAGAGCATCTTTTGTAATTTAGATAGTATCTAGAAATTGAGAGAGAAAATTTAAATACTCCAATAGTCTCTTTATCTTTAACATATAATTTTACTACTCCCAACATGTATTTATTAATTTTCCCTATATTTTACCTTCACCAAGTCCCTCCAAATTATTATATTATTTTCGAATGCATTTAATTATAAAGAGTGAATTTTGCTTGTTACCCCTCTTCTATTGGGCTCCAACACGGGCCACATAGCAAACAAAATCAGGCCTGCATTCTATATCACTATTCTACCTGACCTAGTCAAACCCCCATGAATAGGTGAGCATCTTTAGTTGTCGAAGCATTGTATTTTGTCAAACCCACATGAAGAAATCAAACCCCCATGGAGGGGTCGAACTTTCATGGCGAAGCCAAACCCTCATGGACGAGATAATGCAAGGTAATACGAGGCATTGTAAGAATCTTCCCTACAAGATTTTCCATGATTGATTGATATGACTACTCACTGCACTAGTCCTTCTACCAAATCAAAATGTCTAGTCTTTACAAGTTAGGTCATAGAGCTGCAAACAATCAAAACATTAAATGTGCTTCAGCCTAGGAATGATAAAATAATGTCTATGACAAGGCGTCTCAATCGTTAAGATGAGGTCACGTATCTTTTTATCCAACGGTTATTATTTCTCTTCTACTACTATAAAAGCTCACACTTACTGTCATTTGAAGATAAAGAAATTTTATAATTCAACTATAGCATTGCTCTCTCATTATTCTCTCTACTTATATACTCCCAAATTCGAACCCATTTTATTGTGACTGACATCTTTAGCACATTCCACACTCAAATAATTATTCTAAAATAGACTAATTTGATCATGGGATGCTCGCGATCACCTTCTCCACCACTGGAGAAGGTCACGTGCTCTAACAATTTTTCCAAATGTGTTGGTAAAGACTGAGTGGATGTGAGAGGAATCGGGATTTGTTTACTACATCACAATTATAAAAATTGAGGTCAACACATGGCATCATCTAGCCTATGCATCAGCACCATAACCATGCAAGACCTCATCCTGGCCTACGTATAAATGCCTCCGCCATGCATAAGGCCTCATCTTCACGTATGCATCAAGGCCTCTTAAGGCCTCATCTTCGCCCATACATCAAGGCCTCATCTTGACCTATGCATCAGGGCCTTAGCTATGCAAGGTCTCATCCCAGCTTATGTGTCAGAGTCTTCCCTATGTAAGGGCCTCATCTTTACCTATGCATTAGGGGTTTAACCATGCAAGGCCTCATCCCGACCTATGCATTATACCTTTGCTGTGCAATGCATTATCTTTACCTATGCATAAGGCTTCAACCATGCAAAGCCTCATCCTTACCTATACATCAAGGCCTCCACCATACAAGGTCTCATCTTAGCCTATGCATTAAGGCCTCATCTTCGACTATGCATCAAGACCTCAACCATACAAGGCCTTATCATGGCCTATACATCAGCTCATCTGTCATACAAAGCCTCATCTTGGCCTATGCATTAGTGGTTCCACCATGCAAGGCATCATCTTCATCTATGCATCAGGACCTCCTCCATACAGGGTCTCATCTTCGCCTATGCATCAGGGCCTCAGCCATGCAAGACTCATTTTAGCCTATGCATCAATGCCTTTACATTAGCTTCTTCTCCATGCAAAGCCTCATCCTAACCTATGTATCAACATCTCTGTCATGCAAAGTCTCATCTTTGCCTATGTATTATGTCCTCAGCCATGCAAATTCTCATCATAGCCTATGGATCAGGGCCTCCGCTATGCAAGGCCTCATCCTGGCCTTGCATCATCGCCTCCTCCATGCAAAGCCCCATTCCCTATATGGATGTACCACCCATTATTTGGGAAGTCCTTGATGTAGATGAACCATCCACCATACATGAAATTCGAACCGCTTCGAAAAAAGAAGTGTGAAGCACCCTAAAGAGAGCACACCTTGATATCTACGAAGACTGAGCCTTCCATGGATGAACAATCCTCAATAGAAGAAGCCCTTCATATGGATGAAACCTCCACTATGCAAGGAAGTCGAACCACTTCGAAATGAGATATGCGAAGAACCTCACAAAGTTCTATCTTGACATCTACGGAGATAAAACCTTCCTTGGATGAACCATCCACCATGAAAAAAGCTTTTAGCATCGATGAATTATCCATCATATAAGAAAGTCGAACAATTTCAAAGGGAAAAGGCAAAGCATCCCATAAGAGGCCCACATTGAAACTTACGAAGACAAAGTCTTCCATGGATGAACCATCCACCATATAAGGAAGTCAAACCGCTTTAAAATAAAGGTGCGAAGCACCCCACAGAGGCTCACCTTGATACCTATGAAGGCGAAACCTTCCTGATAAACGATCTTGTTGACCTATGGTTGATTTCATTCTTAATATTTTGATCATAAAAAACAAGATTAATATTGTTTCTAAC